TTGCTGGTTTAAATACAATTTAAATTCAAAACTTTACATTTACAACAAAACATACAATAATAATAATAAAAAAGCTGTCACAACGATGCACATGTGGATTGCGTACACACATGTAGAGTGTATATTCAAAACATGAGTACTATGGTACTTATTTACATTTCCCCGCCCGAGTGGCGGGCTCGCCAACATGCATGAGATTTTACAGCGCGACCTCTTTTTACGCTGAGACTTACTAAGAACGTTCATACCCTGTCTGGAGATGAATAATGAAAGTCTAAATTGAAAAGATGAGTATGTGTATTTGTATGCAGTTTTCATGCCTTTACTAGTTTAAGACTAGCTTCATTCTAGATGAAAATTTATGTTAAAATATAAAGTTTAGTCTGCGTTTGTTCCATTAGTATGAAGTTTGCCGTGCAGTGGCAGCGTAATAGAATCTACTCATAGCACTCAGTTAGAGTTGACAGGTTGAAATAAAACATCAAAGATGGGAGCAGCATTCTCCTGATAGCAACTCAAAATAATTAAAAGCCTGTGGTTGTCGACAGACCAGCTACTCCTAAATGTAGCAAACTATGGGAAATACCCCCTTAGAGGAAACTACGAGTATATTGCTGTGATATGTTATAATATAGCGTGATATGAAGACTTTGACGTTCATAAGAACTTTAAGCAAGCTTAAAAAATAAAAATAAAAAGATTTGCCATCACTTTAACTTTGATTTTCATTAACAAGCTTAGCAGTTCTTTGCATTAAGCATTTTACAGGATATTGTTGTAATCATAAGCTTAATTATTGATTACATCAAAAAACACCACGCACTCATCTGAACGTTGGCAACCGCGGTTTTTTGTATTATTTAGATGTCATTAGAAAATAACGTAATAAGAAAATGTGAGTGAAATCCAAATTACGTTTTGAGAGATTTAGTCAAAGTGGCATGAAAAATTAGGAAATAAACATAGTTTAATGAAGACAATGCCGTTTAACAACAATGACAAGAAATCACTCCATTATTGTATTTAACATTGAGGAATTTATAGTAATGTTATATTTATATAGTATCCTACATAACTGAGGTTAGTAATAAAGTAAGTAATGTGATTTTATTTAGAGTTTATAAGTTTAATCAGCCGTGGTAGCTCAGGGGCTAAGCGCTCGCTATATTTTTTTTTAATAGAAGAGGGGGCAAACGAGCATACGATTCACCGGGTGTTAAGTGACGAGAGTACCACCACTTGTGAACAACTGCAACATCAGGGGAAACGCAGGTGTGTTGCCGTTCTTTTAGAAAGGAGTAAGCTCTTTTCTTGAAGGTCCCTAAGTCGTATGGGTCCGGAAAAATCGCCGGTGGTAAACTATTCCACGGAGAGGTCATACGCGGAAGAAAACTCCTAGTGAAATGTACAGTGGTGGACCGTCAAGCATCCAGATGGTGTGGATGATATCGAAAGGGTTTTCACGTAGTGTGTTCTTGAAATTTGTTGGCTGGGATTAATCCGAACAATTCCTTAGAGCACTCCCCGTGATAGATGCGAAAGAAAATGCAAAGATATGCAACATCTCTTCGCAGCGTCAGTGAATCGAGCCGATCAGAAATCACTCGGTCGTTAACGATTCGTGCCGCTCTACGCTGGATGCGGTCAAGTGGAAGAAGCTGGAACTGGGTCCCCAGCCCAGAGATAGGAACAGTATTCCATGTGGGGCTGAACCAGCGCCTTGTAAAGTTGCAGGCGGTGTGCTGGCATGAAATACTGTCCCGCTCTGCTGAGCACGCCAAGTTTTTTGGAGGCCAATTTGACCTTCTCTTCCAAGTGACCATGAAACTGCACGTCACTCGATATGTCTACGCCGAGGATTCCGATACTGGCCCAGGCAACAAGGAGAGTGCTTTGAAACTGAGGGAGATAAGACAAAGGGGTTGTTTTTAGCGGTTAACGCGCAAACTTGTGTCTTATGAGGGTAAAACTGGACTAGATTTAGTCGCCCCTAATCCGAGACTTTGCTCAGCAAAGACTCGACTTCAGACACAAGTTTTCTCCCGGTACTCGAAAACTTTACCGGTTTGCAAAATATCATTGATATGCAGAAGAAACAGCGTTGGTGATTGCACGCAGGCTTGTGGAACGCCAGCATTAATAGGCTTGTAATCGGAGCTTTCACCGTCTAAAACGACCTTGATGCTCCGATCTACAAGAATGCTGGTGATCCAATTGCACAATTTCTCGGGAAGGGAGCTTCGAAAGAAGCGCTTTATGCCAAACCCGATCGAAGGCCTTCAAAATGTCCAAACTAACGGCTAATGCCTCCCACTTAAACTCTACTGTCTCCACCCATCGATGAGTCAGGTAGAGCAGAAGATCACCAGCTGATCGACCTCGACAAAGACTGTATTGGCGGTCACAAATCAGCTGGTGATCCTCAAGGTACCGCATTAACTGGCAGTTTATAATGGATTCAATTATTTTGGAGAACAAGGAGGTGATGGCGATAGGCCTTTAGTTTGACGGCTCTGAGCGGTCGCCTTTTTTGGGGATCGGGTGGACGAAAACCGTCTTCCATGATTTTATAGTACGAGAGCAATGCGGGTTCGATCCCCGCTAGTACCAACGGAACTGTTAGTTGCAATTTTAAGTTCTGATTTACTAAGTGAGAAGGGAAACCATCGTGAGGAAAACTGAATGTTTGAGAAATAAAAAATTAAATGAAATAACAAAAATGAATAAAAGAAGAAAAGTGTCAATGCTAATTTGATTTAACATCAAAATATTATATTTTCAATGTCCATATGTACCAATATAATAGGTCAAGTAAAAGAGCTAATGGCAAAAATAGAAATCTAATTAGATAAAAAGCTCTTTATATAAATAGTAATAATAAATTCTCAATAAATCACTATTCCTAATCACAACTAAAAAATCCCTCTAAGATTTGTTGTTTGTTATAGGTTGTATATCTTAAATTAGCTTAAAAATGATGTTATTTCTTTCAAACTTCTAGAAAAATTAATGTTTGGTTTCACATACATATGATGACATTTTCCGAAGTAAAGCAAGATATTTAGGATATTTTTTTTTTTACATTCACACAATTTATTTTTGTTTTGCATTGAAAATTATCAAAAATCTCAAAATTGACATTTAATAAGTTTTAATTTTGTTGAATAAGGGTGACATACAAGCACACCGTCCACGTGATGGTAAGTGGTTGCTGTGGCCTATAGACAACAATTATCTTCGATTATGAATCAAAATGCAGTTGTATTGTCACTCTAAAGGACTAAGATGAAATGACTTGTTTCTAATAAATAGGGTCTCCTGGTTCTCTACACTTATCAAACGAAACACAGCAGCATTAATCTGCCATTTTACCATTATACCCAGTTCGAGCCGACCCATTCGTGCTACAACCATAATACAACTGTAGCGTGTTTCTACCACGTACGAATATAAAGTACATAACTTTGTAAAAATGTTTCTTTGTTTGTCCTATAACTTTCCTACACCTTTCATACTATTATGATAAACGCGCGTGCGTTAAGCTCGCTAAGATTTCATTCCGAGCACAACTAGTATTGTATATTTTGTCTATCTCCATTCTAAGCGGTATTTTGTGAAAGCATGGTTCTACCTCGGTCATGCTGACATATTCTTGCTGCAGCCATATACAACTGCAGTGAAGTTCTGCTATGCAGCCAGATTTTATAAGATTCTTTTTTTACTATTTGTATTAGTAATAATACTACACCATGGGGAATTGAACTTCAGTCGCTTGCGTACTATAAAATTTAATGAAAGCATGACCCTGAACTGCCGTAGCAAGGTTTTATACCAGCAGATTCCATTACTCTAATATTATATACTGCTTTAGGTATCTCTTATATATTATTATGTATAAAAGCACGTTATTATTGACAAATTAAATCATATTATTCCCAATTTAATTCGATTGCCAAAGTTTATAGACAGAAAGCTATTGTTGTATTTACCTTTTTCAGATTATATAAAAAGTTACAGTTACAGCCTATTTACGTCGCACCGCTGGGCATAGGCACTCTCATTTCTTAAAACTTATCATTTTTCTGAGATGGTTATAGTGCGATTAGTCTGCAGAGCTCGTCCAGTACGTGTTGGCGGACTGTTTTCAATTTTTACATTCCTTAGAGATATATGCGATATAGAAGCGTTTTGTCACAAAGTTTTTCTTTACCAACAAACACGTAATAAAATATATTTGGAGTGTACTGTTAATGTAAGATAAGTCTATCACATCATTTCGGCCGGTAGATGTCGTGAGTAGTTACAAAACTGAAATACTTTTCAGTTATTTCAAAAATAATATAAAATGAAATAAGCAAATGAACTTACAGTGCACCTGGTACGTGGTTACTGCAATCCGTTAACTCCTGCAGCCTACTTCAAACAAAGAAAGCTAAATGTTTACGTCAAAGAACCCCAAAATTATAAGAATGCCGCAACAAAATTGTGTTTGCACTCACTGAGGTTGAAAAGATTTTAATATGAATTTCTTTACACCGTCTCCATGCGGTGGCGAGAATCCAAATAACATCAAATATGCCTAAAAATATTTTATTTAAATTTGTTAGGATTTTATAGTACATTCTTCATTCAGTTTTTAATAGAATATTTGTTAGAATGACCGACTAAGATGAAGACAATATTACTATATAATAATGTGGTGTCATATTGTACATTAATTAACATTTTAGTGGTTAGCAAACTTTATGTAAATAAATAAAATTTAGTCACTTTATGATCACATAACCATTAAACCTTGACTCAACGTTACACTTTCATTAAAAAAATTCCATAATATCGCTTTAATTAACATACCCAGCTTAGGAGTACATTTAAACAGTTTTGCGAATTCAGCTGTAACCACTTCTTAAACGCTGAAGTGCATCGCTGCGACCTTTTTAAGAAGTGCAGAAGAGTGAAGTCGACAATCGATAGATAGCGTGTGTTGTTATGTGGGCGGTATGGTGCCGGTGCACGCGGCTGCAGGCCGAAAGAAGAAACCTCGAAGGCGCGGTGAATCCGTGGCGGCAAGTGCGGACGTGCGCGCGCAGCGGCGGCGGAGGCGGGCGCGGGCGGTGCGCGGGCCAGTGGCGTGCAGCGCGCGCCGCGGACGCCCGCACCGCAGTGTCGAGCAGGAGCCCGCCATGCCCGGCCCGCGCCTCTCACGCGCCGCCTGACAGCATGGCCTACCCGACCGCCACCACCACACGCAGCCACGCTCTGACGACGGTACGAATCGTTCCTCGAACATGACGGAGCGCGTCAGCCTAGCAGGACGCAGCCTCTAACGCATTGCGTTGCTTCCGATTAGTGACAGTGTTTTCGACGCCAGTGAGGTTCGGACAGCGCAGAGGTTTCGTCTCGATTCGATCGTCCGCAGACCCGAAAGGAGTAGGCTTGGGTCGTCGCCGCGTGACCCGCTAGATGGCGCCGCGCGTCGCTCCTGCGGCGAGCTCTCTCCGCCCGCACCCCGCCGCCGTCGTTGCCTTTTGTTTCACACCGTTTTCATTCGTGTATATAAAATAATAATTGGTCGGCGACGGTGGTGACTAGGGCCGCACGGCGCCGAGCCGTCGCTGACGTCAGCGGAGCCCGGGCTCGCGCCGAGCGCGCTCCCGGCTTCCCCGACCTTCTGCCGCCGCCGTCTACAACTTATCCGATATACAACACTGACACGTCAGGCTCAGTCCTTACAACTGATCTGCCACCCCTCTCTCGCGAACTTCGCAACTACTGTGCCAAACTCAACGCATTAACCAGTAAATTATTGTGATATTTCACAACGTTAACAAAAAACTTTACTCTAGAACGCGAAGTCGCGCATGATTCGTTGTCAATATATTTACACAACTCGAGGGAAATGTGTAGGTTTCATTCATGTAACCTACAAGTATCAGTGATTCATCTGCACCTAGCAACATCGATTCTTTACATAGGAGGAACCGTGATAATTTAATCTAAGTCTATGCTCGGTGTTTTTATATAAGGAAATGGCAAAAATCGAAGCGATATTATATCAGGGATTCATTTGGTAAAAGGAGTGCGCTCGTGAGCGACGCGCCGCGCCCATGCCCCTAAGTCTGGTGAGTGGTAAATTGTAAGGCTTCGTTTTTTCGCATAAAATACGCATAGGTGCGTTCTGCTTCTGTATCTTTGAACCAATATTCTTTATAACGTATTCGTCATTGAATAACAATTATTAAACAACAACCATAACTAAGAAAAACGATCGAGTTCGTAATTATATATTATTCAAGTGTAGAATACGTCAAATTTTATTGGAGTGCAAGATAAGTTATATTTTTTATATTTAACAGTGAATCTGGTTATACTTATAAAGTACATAATTATTAAAATGGAAATAATCTCTTAGCGCCTGTCAAATATAATGCCGATTGTTCATTCTCCACTGATAAGGGAACCAAATGTTTGTTTGACACAACTCGTAAATACTTCTTATATAAGAACGTTTATTAACTAATCCTCATTCCTTTAAAAACTTCTTTAACAAAGCGATCGTCTCGTCCTTTTCTTTTCGAATATGTTTGAAAGTGACAAGATGTTGTGTTAGTTTAGCTTGAATTGATTTTTAAGCCTACAGGTACGTACCACAATTAATTTGATTGAGTCATTAGGTGACGAGTAACTTATAGCAAAATAGAACTGAATTAGAATTATTTAAAAAAAAACCCGCGTTCCAAATTCAACACTGACAATAATTTTCATATTAAGTTTTCACTTTTATACAGGAAATACAGAAGTAATTTCAAAATATACCAATTTTAAAACCGGTTCATTTCTGTAAAAAGCAACGATTTCAAAATCAAAATTATTTCTTAATATTTTTATTGCATTTTCGACAACTTTTTATTATATAAAAGATTTGATTCTACAACTTACTCTAGCCTAAATTTTATTTATTTATTTAAGAAATTTATGATTACAAAGATGAATAGTTTTAGTGTAAACATAAACTCATTAGAGTAACGTACGTACACCATTGCTGTCGACACATTATTCTAATTAACACTTTATAATACATTACATTACCAAAGTTACATTAATATTATTATCAACTTAAATTAGGTGCATTAAATGTTATGTTTCTAATTGACAAACTATTTGTGGGTACAAAAATATAAAATAGTTTTAGGCGATGAGCGTAAAATCACAAGGTGAACTTATTACATTCTGTGAATCATCGTGATACAGGTTGATTATATATGTTATAAATACCAACATATTATCTTATAATAAATTTTCATAAATTTATTATAAGATAATATGTTGGTAAAGTAAACCAATAATATAGAACGAGAAGTTGTTTTAAGTGTTACGAGTATTTAGTAAGAGCTTGAGCTCCTAGTGAATTAAAGAGAGGGATATGCTCGGTGTTTCTCTACTTGATTAAATAACGAGGATATCCGCAGCAGAACTAGGGTAACTAACACGTTCCAACGATTATATTTTGATATAATAATAATAATAATATTTATTGTTTCTCACATAACTTATACAAACAAATCATATTCTCTGAAGCTCTGTAGACCGTGGTAGTTGAAAACTGTTTTACAGGCTACAGCATCTTCCCTGTTTCAGTGACACATATTTTTAATGTGACAAACTATTATATCAAACGGTATAAAATTAATTAGAATGACATCAAAAATAACATATAGGTAACAAAGTAAAAACACTAATAAATCCATAAGAAAAAGAGATTCAGCAGACTCCTAGTAAGTTTAATGTACGATTATTTTTCCTAGATGCAGGATGGCCTAATGAAATATACTAGGATTCGTTAGTTTTTTATTACTTTATGGCATTCGATGAAGGACATCTATCTCATCTCATATATGCTATTTGATAAAAATAAACATAAATATAATAGTTAATGTTTTTAATCTGTAAAGTAATTAGACTTCACAGAATAAATGATTCGTATATAACGCAATGTATACAACAACACGATTTTACAAAAAATATCCAGAAAATGTTTAATGTTTGTTAATCTACAAGTTTTTTTTTAAATTATAAAAATGATATAAATCCTGTATATAAAAGGTGATTACATTATTAAGGTAAACATGAATAATAACTTCCTTGTGGAATCGACTACCACCGGAGATTTTTCCAGACCAATACGACTTAGGGACCTTCAAGAAAAGAGCCTACTCCTTTTTAAAAGGTCGGCAACGCATTTGCGTTTCCCCTGGTGTTACAGTTGTTCATGGGCGGCGGTAGTCACTTAACATCTGGTGAGCCATATGCTTGTTCGCCACGTGACTTATAAAAACACCTCTATGAATGAGATGGTCGCCACCATACTGGTTCTAATAGAATTCATTATCAATAATTGAACAAAATTAGGTATTGCAAAATTTTACATCTAAAAATAATCCCGCTGGATTTCTGCCCGGTTCTTTCTACGACCAGGTATTTACTGAACCAGTTTAAATAAAAAAAATACAATAAGCACGTAATAATCTTAGCTTAAAGTAAAATATTCAATTATATTCTACTCATAATATATTGATATAATAATAGATTGTCCATCTCTTGAATTAAAAAATATATTTATTGATAAATTAAACAATGTTAATTAAGTGTTCAAATAATGCAAAAGTTAATTAAACATTAATCACATAGTGACGATGAAGGTGATGATATGCGATTAGAAACAAAACTTCCAAAAATTTTTTGAAACTATTAAAAATGCGAGAAAAATATCCAAATAATCGTGTAGCCTACCATTGTTTATCGATAAAATCGGAAATAGGCTAACATGCAATGTCAGTGACATGCATACAAGTACAACACAACGCCGGCCTGCTGTGGCCAGGGGTTTGAATTCAGCGTGGAACAAGTACCCCACATTTAAAATATTGTGAAACATGGGAAAATTGAAAAAGGTCTAAAGATTTCCGACAGATGTAAACAAAGAAAGTAACACGTTTTTAAATTATAAAACAATACTATTATATTATTGTATGAACATCGGAAATTGATGTAGGTTTTTAGTATTTATTACAAGAAAACTGAGGAATGGTACTTTATCATTCAAAGGGTATTATGCCATGAAAGTGTACAAAAAAGTAAATTATGTGTTTATTATGTTGCGAAGTCTTACACCGTGTAGTAGCGGGAAAGAATACCCGCCACCCTATTTCATCCAGTGGATGTCACAGGGGGACAGAGGGAAACGGAAATAGGACATGGGCAACAGCGTCTTTCTCATAACGACTAAAAACAAAAATAAAACTTCGGTTGCCAACCCACTTGCCAAACATGGCAACTATGGCAAATATCCCTCCAATGAGTAATCTATGGGGGAGCTCTATGTTCTGTAGTGGACTATTCATAAGCTGTAATGGTAATGGTTATTATGGTGCCTTTAAAATAAACTAAAGAAAATACCCCCATCATCATTTTTCCATAAAAACTCTTTAAGCAATTAAATGAAAGCATTTAGATTACGTTAGTGGCTGTATGAGCTAAGATCCCTTTGCCTTCCTTATATATGAAAATATTATTAAAGAAGTTATGTAAACAAAATAGTATTTAACTTTGTTCCCACCCTAGATTATGACCGATTGATTTCGACCAAAAGATCACTACACTAGTGGATATTCTTAAACCGCCACTACACGGTTTAAGTTATAAGATATGATTTGCTTGTTATTCTCGATGAAATACTCAATTTTAAGCAATGGGGCCACCTGGTTTCAAAGTCAAAGTCAAAACTTTTTCTCTAACGTCAAAATTTAGACCAGTGCGCGAAAAAAAGACCTTCCCGAAGAAGTCGGCTTACGAAGAGTCTCGACAGTCAGAAATCAGTTGCACAACGTGGAGTTAAGATTGACATTTGTACGAAAAGTTGCCATATTCCCTCTTACACCATTTTAGGACAAATCAGGGTCCCGATTTATTTTTCATCTTCTAATTTTACAAAGATTTTTGTTTTTGTTGATTGTCTAGTTGCATAGACTTGCGTAGTTGCTGGATTCTGTAAAAACTGAAAAAATTTCACAACCATAAAGTTCATATTGCAACAATGAATAGCTTGCAGCTTAACTCAGATTTTTAAGCCGCTTAATTAAGGAATTAGGACAAGATGCAACCTTTGAAATTGGGTCAGTATAGCACGGTTTTGTCTGTAAGTCAAGAAACGGCGACA